TCCTCAGGAAAATGGCAATCAGTCTACCACAAGATCAGCAATTCCACTCGTAGGCACATACCCAAAAGAAGCATATATCCATGTAACTTTTATTTACATTGGTAATAGAACATCCAAAGCAGATTTCTTCTTCCCCACCTGGACCTGCCCTTTGTCATGTTTTTAAATGCAATTGCTTTTCCTTTGTTCATCCACTGAATAATTTCTTAGCTTCTTTCAACCTCCATATTGAAGTCTGTCATAAAGACTCCCTGTATAAGGCCACTTTTATCTCTTTATTTGAATTATTACACATTGCACTGAACTCATTCTGTAGGAATAGCAAGAAACTGCTCTTGCATTAGAGTGTTACCTGGGAAAGGCCAAGCAGCCACCAGTCAGGTATTGGTAATAATATTGTGTTATCTTAGTGAGTTCATCACTATTACTTAGTTTTCTAGGCCTAGAAATCTGTTGGAATTAACTCACTGAAAATGAGTTTATCTCTCAGTAAAAGGCTTACATAGTTTTTTTTTAAGCTTGATATATGAAACCAGAATTCTATTCATTTATATGTAACATCAAGCTGCAGAGGACTAGGTACATTCTCACCTTAGAAGTAAATAGAAAGAAATGATAACCACATGTAGATGTGATCAAATCTCTGAGGTTGCCTAAATAATGGTGATTCTTATTTATTTTCTACTTGGGACCATTTTCCACACTTCATTTTCAATCCTACTGGTGACTTAGCTCTCCCAAGAACATCTACATAATCTATTTTTTTCATGTCTGTGTTTGCAATTTTACTTTCTTTTCCTGCTGTCTCTTTAGAATGTTAAAATGTCAGCCATATAGCATTGGCCTGTGAAGCATTTCCTGAGTGCTTCATAAAATGTTAACACTATCGTTCATGCTTCTAAAGTGTAAGAGTTGCTGCTTATGATTATTTCATTTATAAGACTTATCAATGGGCTAGAAAATCTTGGTAAATGTTGAAAGACTTTCAATAATTAGATTTTTCCAGGAAATACTAGCTATACTCACATAACAGGTTTATAAATAGTTTTGATTTCTTAGTCATTAATATAAGTTTTGCCTTACAACTAAGAAACTCTGAGAATCTTTAAGTTCACTTTTTATAACCATGTAATTTACTGCTTGATTTATCAGTTACAGAATGATAAGCTAGCCAAGTAATGAGATCTTTAATTTCTAATATAAAACAGATGATAGTATTTGAACAGATACTTATTCTCTGAGAAATGAAAATGTCTTAGGTAGTGGAGGTTAAGTTGAATCAAGAGAGAGACTTTGGGATATTAACTTTCCACTGTTTGGTTTTTGAAATGAGTACAGATATACTCAACAAGAATATGTGAGATAGAAAGGCAAGACAAAGTACACTTGGGAAAGAAATTATGTGGCCAGTGTGATAGAAGACTTTGAAAACTTGGTATCTTGGTGCAAGTACTTTTAAAGCTACTGGGTTTGAGGGCAACTTAGTTTCATGGTGTATATAGTGCACTGCCTTCTGAAATTCCTAAAACTAGTCTGATTATTCAAGGGCCAAGTACTCAATGTGTTTGAATCACATGGATTCCAGGGATGGAATTCAGGCAACCATCTTTTACCTACTGAGCCATCTTGTCACTGTTCAGTTTTAACTACTATAATTTTGCCTACCATAGCTCAAAGGTTTAAGTATTCTGACAATTTCTTTTTTTTAAAATAAAATTTATTTAAATTTAAAACAATCTTATTTTACATACCAATCCCAGTTCCCTCTCCCTCCCATCCTCCCCTGTCCCCCACCAACCCCTATCCCACCCTCTATCCACTCCCCAGGGAGGGTGAGGCCTCCCATGGGGGAATCATCAAAGTCTGGTATTCTGACAATTTCTTAAGTCCTAATACAGTACTTGCATGCTCCCCTGCTAGGTTCTGGGGATACTCTGAGAAGGCAGTGTATGGCAGTCATAATGGTGTTTCATTAAGGTCACCAGTAACAGAGAAGCTGATATTGTAGATGAAGGAGAAAATATGTAACAGAAATACTTCTCCTTTGGTCACAAAAGTGAGCTAGATCCAGCAGCCAAGTTTGCTGTTACCTGTGAGTGGAATGTTAGGGCTCAACCAAGAGAGTGATCACCCCACCCCCCAGCCCACCAAACAGAACTAGGGTTCCTTGGAATATGGTTCCTTAGAGGCTTGCACAGACTAAAATTTTGAGTTCAGAATAGCAGCTGCAGGCACATGCCTGTTACTATTCTAAACCCTTATGTACTTAATCTCATTTTAATCCTTACAGCACTCCTTTGAGATAAACACTCTTATAATCTTATAATGGATATGGGGTAGGCTTATGTTAAGACACTTGTCCAAACACGATGCTGAAGCTGGGCTTCAATTGGCCATGATTTAGCCTGATTCTTTACAATTCAGCACAAGGTGCAAAAGATTATATGGTATATGATTCCATTTATATAAAAGTTTAAAGCCAGGCAAAGCTAATGTATGCTGTTAGAAGTTGGGATGATGGTCGCTCTGTGTGAGTGGGTCTGTAGAGAGCCACAGTGCTCTCTGTTGCTGTAGATACTGATTTCATGGATATGCTCACAGCTTGTAAAACTACAAGCTGCAGTATTAACAATAGGGAAACTACTCTCTTTGTACATTATGCTTCAGTAAGTAGTAAAAATCCTAAGCCGGATAATAATAAAAAATAAACAAAAATAAAAATGTTGAGGAAGAGCAAAATGTAATGAAGTATTCCTGGTACTATTCTACCTGGTACTATTCTACCTGGTACTATTCTACTTACATGCAACTCAGAACTTAATGTCATTACTCCCCAGCATATGAC